GAATAATTATCAACTAATCAGTTGAACAGAATTTAAAAGATTAGACATGTTTCATCTAATGTGAGAGTAAGGCAAATATTTTGAGATGAAAACGAAACTGACGCGAATTGTTGCATAAACATTTTATTATTATTATATTGTTTATATTGACAGCTGTGAGGTATTTGTCAATCTGAATAAGTTCTCATCATTTTTAATTGCGCGTATTATATATCACCTTGTAAATATTTGATAAAGAAATCACATTAAGAAAAGATGCAATAAGTAGCAGGATACAATTTGTGTTGTTATCAAAAGTTCCGTTTTATATTTTTTTAATTATAAAAAATACAAAATATTATGTTACTCCATTTAAGTGCAATCAAATTATTCTGAACATGTATTATATATATACATTCAATTTTTGGTGTAGTTCGGCAGAAATTTTTCTTTTATGCAAGTTTGATTGAAGACCAGAGCATGCTTTTATTAATAATCTTCTTATTCGTTTTTTCAATGAGTGGAACAAAATTTTTAGCTGGCATCTTTTTTTTGTATTTTGTTCGACTCATTGAAAAAACGAATAAGAAAATTATTAGTAAAAAGCATGCTCTGGTCTTCAATCAAACATGCATTTATTTTGTTGTGTACATTTTTGAAGGACCAGCTGCGAGATGACCTCCTGAGCGTCCACTCTTCTCGTTTTCTGCACTTGGAAAAAAAGCATTGTTATATGTTACGAAGATATGTAAGTTGTCAACATTGGTTTTAAACTTGATTTAACAAAAAAAAACATTTTCTATTAGATAAAATGTATTCACCAAGATTCAATTTAGAGATAATTGAAAATCGGTACAAGGTTAGATGTGCTTAAAATTACAAAATATAAGTGATTGAGAAACTATCCTGATGATTTTCACAAGCATCTCTCGAAAATGTTATATCACAGACTAATAAATTCCTCGGAAAAAATTTCCGAAGCAAATTTTTGTTGGCACGTGAGTAGAATTAAATACAGGAACTTTTATTAAATCTACTGCTTCGCCTGAGCGATAAGCCCTCGACATCGGCAGCTACTGTATTGCTTCCTTCCAGTTCCCGGGAACTGCATTAAGTCTTGTTCCGAGCAACCACTTGTAGGCTCCTACGTTAAAAATCACGAGCAGAAAATCGGTTTAGACTTGGACAAATTTGGCTTGTTTAGAGGCGGTGACAAAAAAGTGCTCGGCACAAGACGTCGTCCGTCGCGGTGATCGGTGGCGGCGCGACCGTGCGGCAAGATTTTCGGCGTCTCCGAGCCTCTTAATTTAGAGGCGCCGTGTTCTGAATTAAGTGTGGCCGTTTGTCGGGAAACTGAGGGCGCGGATATCTCGATAAACCTTTCTTATTTAAGACAAGATTTCCTGTCCTAGCTTAATAATTGTGTAAATCAGAATATTTAGAAACTAGTGGAGAAGATTATATGCTTGCAATTTTATTTGTACATCTATTTTTTATGAAGTAAACCAAATATAAGCCCATGAAAGTTATAGGACTGATATTTGGTAGCATTACTTGAATGAGTTTGACGAACAAAGTTTTTTTATCTCGATACGTCTGCAGGTTTTTTTTTATTAGTGAAAATTATTATTGATTCAATGTACGGGTACATATAATTCGTAAATGAAGATTTTAGATCTTTCATGATTTATGATCGCTGCTGTCAATTTTGCAGATTAATGCTAAAAATTCGTAACTGAAAAATTCCTGGTGAAATTTTATGTCTCGTCTCATGGGGTCGGTGCTGCAAACTATGATGATGCAAAGAATAATTATGATCTTTTTGGTTTGATCGTTGCGAAGCTAATAGGTAAAATTCCATGCGGGCATAAATTATGATTTATTTGTTGTAACTGAATTAATAATGTTTTGGAATTTAAAAAGAATTCATTAGTGTTGACTCCTTTTTATTGCTAGTGGGTGTAAGAATTATTGAACACATATCAAAATTAAAATATATAACATAAAATATAAAAAAAAATAAAAAAAAAGTGTTATAAAAGATTGCTTCAAGTTACATATAAAGAAAATTCAGCAGTTAGTAACTTGAGTAGTTTGACGAATTTGGATGTTTTCTTTAGTGTGAAATATTATCTATTGCGAACTAGGAAATTTTTTTGTAGCTCTTCTCCTTCTTTGGGTGTTACAAAAATTAGAGATATTATCAAAAATCTTTTTACGACAATCGAAACAAATTTCGTGCCTAGTGTAGAATATTTGTTGGAAGGCATGCATGATGACGCAGTATCAATTAATCTGTTATATCTTGCAAAATTTTCTATGTTTCTTTGAAATACTAGAAATACATAAAACGGTTGGGATCCTGTCGCTATATTACATCAAAATCAAGTTTAATTTTTAAACGTGAAATCACGACTTATTAACAACTAGGGGAAGAGAATTGCATAAAAAATAGAGATGTTATTTTTAATTTCTGCTCTAGTAAGTATGAGGAAAGTAAATTTAAGTATATTGAACTTCTTTGGTGTTATTGTTAGTAGAAATTAAAATAATTATGGTTAGTTTACTTCCCAAATAAAAGGAGTTGAAAAGTAGTTTTGGGTTTGAATACGTTTTCTTAAATTAACACACCATATTAGTTTTCAAATCACTAACTGGATTCAGGATGAATGGATTCGGGAAGATTGAATTATCATATCTCGTCTGAAGGATAATTTTTTGCCTCTGGCAATTCCGGAGTAACCTTGGGTATTTATCTCGGCCAATTTGACTATATTTTAATTAAATTAAATTAAATATCCAATTTGACTTGGATATTTATCCCGGCCAATTTGAATATATTTAAATTGAATTAAATATACAATTTGACTTGGATATTTATCCCTGCCAATTTGAATATATTTAAATTAAATTAAATATCCAATTTGACTTGGATATTTATCCCGGCCAATAGGAATGAAGTAGTTGATGGGAATGAGCACTTAGGAGGTGTCATTCCTATAGATTATATGAATATTTTAGATTCAATTTTAATAATCCAAACTTTGATAAATTCTGCTCTAAAATTTTAAATAAATATATTTTAATTTTAGAAGAGCAATTATATGAAACCGTGCATTTAGAACACAATAAGAACTCAGAATACAAAAAACTCAGAATTTAATTCAATATTGACTTACTTTTTGATGAAATAAATTTTCATCGACTACGTTGAAACATTTTTTAAAAATAAGATTAAGGTAATTTCTTCTTGAATAACTGACAATAATATATTATAATAAAGTTTATAATTGCTCATCAAATTAAATGGAATTCATTCAATTCATCAAGCAGAATGTTCACATGCATAACGTGTTGGACATTGCCCATATGCATTATATCAATATTACGAGTATAAAGACGCTTTCTGTAACATTCGATTCCACTGTCTTGACTGAATAGTGTGAACATTGTATAATAAAAGTCTTTGGTCAATTAGTATTTGTGCGATTTGAAATAGTCAGAAAGATTACCACTTGCAAAAATATCAATACTAACTAACTGTAAATTTAAGAGGAATAAGACAGCAAGTAAATTATTTATACAAAATAACACAATTGAAAACAAAATGACCGAGACCAAAATAGATCATCAAATTCATTTAAATATTTTATTATGTAGCTTCTATGCGTTTTCGAAGGTTTTTTTCTGAAAGAAGATTCCTTCTTAGGAAATTATTCCGTAAAATTAACCTGAGATGAGAATGTAAACGCAATAAAAATTAGTAAAAAATAAGGCAGAAATAAGATGATATAAGTTTCAATTTACATAATTGCCATTCTACTGGGAAATAGTCTAATCAAATATATATTTAAGAGCTTCTGAAAGTGATAAATTTTGAACATTTTGGCGAAAAAAAAATAAATACCAATTTTTTAGCCCTATATATGCGTTAAGATTACCTTTAGTAAAAATAACTGTATAACACTCAATGCGTGTTTTCTGTTATTTAGCTTAGATTACTTGCCTGATAAATTATTTGACTATAATTACGAAACGTAATTTGTACTCTGGTTCAATTGTTTCTAAGAAAATAATATGAATTATGGTTTATCAGATTATTATGAACGTAAATTACCAAAGTAATAGTTACCACCTCAACTCATATTCATGATCATCACTGCATAATTTGATTTTAGTTTGAATTCATTCAACCATTTTAATTTCTCTGGAATGAATTCACTTGCTTCATTTGCCATTAACGTTTTTCAGATCCGAATTTAAGCTTAAGCCCAATGTAATGTTAAGCTTAAGCCCAATGTTAAGCCCTTCTTCTGATTCTGTTATACACCGAATACGGTTTTGTTTAGCTCGTAGTAAGGTTTACATGCCCTATAAAATTTCATTAAAATTTTAATGAAATTTAAATTTTTCATTTAATTTTTAGGCAGATACAACATATTAATGTTATTCTTTTTAACGGTAGTTATTCGATATTATTGCCACCACAAGAAATTAATTGAAACTTGGCTTAGGAGAATTGAATTACCCTAAACGTGGTAAGTAGCGCTCAATATCAGTGAAAACAATACTGCGTGAGAAAATCTAGAGCAATTCTAATGTTTCAATACACCTATACCAGAAATATTTATGGAAACTCACTTTCCTTTGCCTCTTGTGAATTAGTCAGAAGACCATTCCAGCTAGGCCCTGTTCCGCCGAGTGATTCCTGCTTTCTCAAGTGTTCCCATGGGAATCGGAAAATCCTGAAGCCTTTGGGGGAAAAATTCTCACTTCGGACCGGAATCTCGAAGCTGGAACATGCACCTCACCGAGCCTAAGTAACAATTTCTCTAGGTTTGTTTTCCCAGGGCCTCAACATCGTGAATCCCGTTTTCAGATCGCCTTGTGAACTGAACTCGTATGATAGGCGAACCTATTGACAAGAATTTCAAGACTGACCAAGACTTTACTATTGACCATATGACGTAAATTCAATGACTGCCCACATGAGACTAGTGCTAGTGCAGGGGGCCAAGGATGAGCCCTCAACCAATGGCAAGTCACAAAGGGTTGTCGTTTGCACGTTAAGGGGGCTACGCGATGGGAGGCGCATCGAAGTTCTTTTCCTGGAGCTGCGCAGTGGAGGTGCGCCGCTGCCGCTCACACACTTGGGGTCTGGTCGCAAGGCTGTAAATCAACGCCAATCATTGTCTAGCAGTGGGACGAAGCACACGCGAACATAGAACATAGATCAGTTTCCGCTCCCAGTCAGTCTGTGTTCTGATACTAGAAGTGTTCGGTGAAGTTCTGTTTGGCTTCCAACAAGAGTTCATAAGTTGGTAACCGACAACTGCTCCGAAGAAAGTTTCAGTCTCAGTGTTGCACGATAACTGCGTAATTTTTGAACACCTCTTGATTCAAGTTGAATATTGGAAGGTGTGTTGTGCGAGAGCTCATGATCCTCCTCCCAATAGTAGTGCTGTTCTGCACGCTCCACCCATTAATCATGGTGACGTGAGAAACGCTTAAGTCTTAGTTGTCAGTTTGTGTCGGTGCAGCTCAGCAATACGTTCAGCTGCGCTCGTGTTTTTGAATTTAGGGCTTGTACAGTGAGTGACTATTTTCTTTTGGTGTCTCAGTGCTCCCGACGACAATTACCATGAGTTCGGGATCGTACATCATGAATCCCGGGGCATACGTGGACCCCAAATTTCCACCCCCGGAAGACTCGTACCAAAACTCCTACATGCCATCAAACGCTGATTATTACAATACAAGTGCCCACTATGGGCACTATTCACTGCCCCAAAGTCAGGTAATGCCCTATGGTCGTGAAAGTATGCAATACGGGCATGGTGGATACTACCAGCAACCATGCATCATGCCCCAACATCAGACCATGGGTGCCCATATGAGCCCTCAGCTTGCTCAGTGTCCAAGTCCAATCCAGCAGCATAATATGAACCAGCGGTCACCCGTAGGCTCCCCCGACCCCAACATCGGGTCCACTGGAGGAATGATGGGCAATCATCTCATGGAAGGCTCGCCATCTGAAGAAAATATCACCGAGTTAGATGCTAATGGACAACCAGTCATTTATCCATGGATGAAGAAAATTCACATAGCTGGAGTAGGTGAGTCACTGGTTATTATAATATTTAAGCATCAACAGTGTTCATATTTATAATGTTTTCTTGTCAAGATTGTGAGGACTGGGTACGGTAAAGGCCTTCGTGCTGAAGAGATTTGGTCTCTAGTTCATTAGGACTCTAGTTCATTAGTAGGTCTCTAGTTCAATTAATAGGTCTCTAGTTCAATTAATAGGCCTCTAGTTCAATTAATAGGTCTCTAGGTCTCTTTACTCTTCGTATACATAAGAATGAAAGTTTATGAATTTTCAGTCAATTCTTACACGAAGAATATTTTTTATACATGTAGTACAAACTCTGACACAGAATGGCAACTAGAATTTTGCAAACATTTGTAACCAATGTTCGTTGAATGTGAATTTTTACGTTACTCTACAGGTTAATAGTTAATTTGTTGCAATGGCTTCATTAGGGTAGGATTCCAAGGCGATAATTTAATTTATGTGCGTACTGTCAGCAACGTACAGCTGCTCGACGTCAGTTTGAATTGATAATTCGGAAATTAATTTGTTCGGCAGGAATTCGTGTCGTTTTCACGTCCAGTAACTTAACTAATTATGGAGATACATGTTCAGCGCATTTGGTTATTTACATGAAAACTAAGTGTAGTAAACCGAGAAAACCAAACTGGAAACTAAGTCTTGTAGAAATGCCAGTCAAATATTCTTCAGCTCAGTGCAGGTAAGTCCTAAAATCAAAATACCAACAGTCATCAAAGTTTACCAACATTTTCTGTTCTGATCACCAAATCTTAATTGGCATCTCGGAATAAAATTTGCCATTGAAATTAAGAAAATATATTATATGGAGTGCCCAGTATTAGGGATTAATTTCCCGCATTAGTTATGTGTATGATATCTAGATATGCTGAATTCGAAGGCAATTTGCCATGCAGTGGATTTGCTATAAGAACAAAAGGTTCTTTGTCCCATAATACTGCCACCTGGGACTCGGTGTAGACGAGCCTGGCCTTCTCATCCAGCTTAAAACCTTTCATGAAGAAAGCATTGTTAGTTTTTGAGGTGTGAAAATTATCACACGAATGTTAAAAAAACTCATTCTTGGAAAACTCTTGTTAGAACCAAAATTGTAAGTTGTACCGTTCTTACACGGGTTTACTTGCAAATTCTATAAGTGACAGTTTTAAATTTGGTTTGAATTGATGCGTTAACTACATTAAAAGTTACACTAGTGCGGGAATGAGCATCTGCTAGACCTAGTGTAGGTTCGAGATTATGGCTCGAACAATGGTATTTCTCAATAACCTTAAGATCATTAATCAAGGCCGCCTAGCGCAGCAGCACATGGCTCCGCTCCAAACAGACGGGCTTCCTTTCTGTTGGTGAGCACAAACAGTTACAGTGAGACTCACAAACAGCAACAACACAGACCACAATCTGATTCCGTGATTTAGTCTCCTGCTGCTTTCCTATCCCGAAAGCTAACGCGTTTTACTCTGGATGCATGCAGAACTCGCATCGAAAATATAATTTTAACTAGGTTTCAAAATTTAGATATAACCATCTATTTTCCTTAACACCCGGTGGGATATTGATGAAATTTTTATATTATCATGCTACAGACTTGTAACTCATCTTTTTTCCACTATTGTCGGGAAATAAATTAGGGCTTTGATTAAAATTGGGTTTCGTCTATTTCCTGTTATTAAATTAATAACTATTTGAGAATATTCAAATATGCTATATAATTGCAAAAATATTATCTATAGCGTAACGTATAAAACAAATTAATAATTTGTGTATACCCAGAGCAGTGAGCAGGAAGAAAACAGAGTTTTGAACAGTTTAGTTTGACATTTAAATTATGTTCTCTCTTTTTTGTAACATTTTACGGTGCTACTTCAATTTGGCTATACAGTTCGCTGTTCATTATATGTAGGGATAAAAAATTTTGATATATTTCTAATACTTTGCTGGATATCCACTATATATCATACTTTTTCAGTTACGGTACATGTTACCACTTTTTATTACAATGGAGTTTGCCATTGTCGCAAGGTGTAGTAAATGTTATTCGTGACATAAAAATTCTAAATTTCATTGCAACACAGAATTAGACTCTTTCAATTGAAAATCGGTAATTGGGAGACATATAAATTGATTTTCCTATTACGTAGAAATTGATATTACCAAAATGTTGGTTTGCAATATGATGCATAAATTTCTTAGGGAAACACATCTCAATTGTTGTAAAATTTTTATAAATTTTAAAAATATGTTCAGCCAGTAAACAGAGGATTTTTATTCACATTATCTGATCTTAAATAGTTACGGCTGTCCACAACGACTTTATCTGTATAGCTAAATGATCCATGCCATGCTAGGAGATACGTATATTAATCTGTAAGTGAATTGCTATCTTAGTGCAGGAGAATCTGAAATTTCAAGTAATGTATTTGCCAAGCAAATTACACGCTCATATATTACCTCTGTACCACAGAAGTACAGAAAGAATAATTGAAATGCCCCGCTAATGTCGCTCGAAGAACAGTAATAGCTGGTTCATTTACGATTAATGGCATGAGATTTTAATCATCTAACATGCTGATTTTTGTTCAACTCGTTTAACATGCTGAAAAGTATGAATGGATGTTCGAGTTAGGTGTTTCGTCTGAAAGTATTGTATGGAAGAAGCTGAGTATACGACGGATTGTCGATTCCTTCATTACACAGGAAGTCACGGTGATTTAAGATGGGTTGTGGGATTGAGATGAAGTGCAATTGCAGCGGTTGATGCTTTTTTATGTTTTCGAACGAAATAATTATCGTTTTGAATAATTGAATCAAAGTACTAAAGTAGATAACTGAAGGATAGCAAAAAAAGAGCTTAAAACGAGAAGATTGACAGTTGAATAAGATATATGAGCTGAGGTCTTCACCTGGCCGATTATGATTTATCGCTACTAATCTCTTACTTGTATAGCGGATTGCGTTGTCGCTACGACTTCAATTTCGCAGGATTCCAGTTTTTCCTATTTAGATTTTTCGGAACAATAAAGCTATGCATGTTAAATTCTATGTTAGAATTTTATACCGCATTGAAAATTTACACAGAATTTCTTTATGAAAATACTTACATTAATATCTTCTCCGAAAATTTCAAAGCAAATAAGAAGCCGAATTAATTCATTATTTCATAATTGAGAACATTTCGAAGACCTGCTTCATCATCAACTCAATAATTTTTTTAAATTACAATTTATAATGGGCACAAATCTCAGTCATATTTATTAACTGCTCGTGTAAATAAAATACTGGAATTTTAATTTCTTACTTATGATAATTTTTTAATTTGTAACATGACTTCCATATGACTTGGAGTGCATTTATGAATGCAATTACCTTTTTTGCTCTATATGTTTCCCGTATGCTAAAACCTTTCTTCTTTCCAGTAAAGACTGCTAGGATATGCCTGAGAGTGTACGGTATACTATCATTCCGTTGAAAATATCATTGGTGCCCGGACAAGGGAACTGTAAAAATTCTCTGTCACATCCGCAAAGCTTTTAGGACAAACGTTTACTTCCGCTAGTCGGAAAGTAAATTGCATGGTAGCGACCGCAGTCTTCGGTGCGGTCATACTAAATAAAACTACTGCCGGTTTTTTGCAGCATACATGCCGAAGTATATAGCGGGCGAACGAAACTGCATGTTTTGTGTATCCCTATGAATATTCGAATTAGCTTACAACATGCAAATTTTATTCGCATATTATCCACTCCCAAGAATATTAGTGAGTTGAAATTTGGTTAAGTGTGGCAGGTATATTAAATTGGTAAAGACGCGCAACAAACGCTGTTAAATAAACACAATTCGCTAGGCTCTTCATTATTGATTGTTCAGTTGAATGCCTGTAATTTTACCATACTTTTTGAGTTTTTATGAAATAAATTTAAACGAGTAAGCTGTCTATTTTAAAATTTAACACATTTTTCTACAATTCTATGCTGTCTAATTTTAGTCATATAATTAAGTCATTTTTAGCGCGATCACATTTCTCTTACGATCATGAATTTTAATCTAAAAATTTGCACTTCTGAAAATATAATTCCTTAGCCCTTTGTTTCACCCTCATAATCACATCTAGCCATCATATGGAATCTTTGTGTGAATTTTTTCTCATGGGAATTTATGGAGCAGTTATGGAGCGGAGCTGAAATTTATTGATTCGATTGCCTGTAATTTACAAGCTACAGGTGTTCCTCACAAACGGAGATATCTTCGGTCTCTATCATTTAGACTAATATCGAACGAACATAAAATTCACGATTCGTTTTATTGCAGTTTGGCCTCCCCAATCTATTAAAAATCTCCCTGGACTCTCCTACTAGCATAAGGTTTTAGCTGTTGCCAAAAATGATTCACTAGCGACAATTCAGAGTAAGAAACATTAACACATAATTAGCGTAACGTGTGGATAGGGAAATTTGTTGTTTAAATGCAAATGTGGCCTACACTTACTTGTCTTCTTGGTGAAACTACTTTTTCGAGGACTTGGGAAATCTTACTATATTCGCTGTAACCAAATCATGAATGTTAGAACATTATGGTGCTGCATCAATGAATTTAATTGAAACAATTCAAGGCAATAATTGTAATGGAACTTTTGAGGATAGTCCTTAAATTAAATCCGTAGAGCAGATAATCCTACAAAAATATCCAAAACCTTTCATTCAAGACTGACCCTAAAAAATTCAAGAACTTCCCAAAACCCTTACTCCCGAGCTCTAAAACATTCTCTCAAAACTCTGAACTTTCTTTAGAAGCTTAGAACATTTCCATCAAGGCCTTCAACTAGTAGAATTCATATTATAGCGTCCTATCAATTTAATGTTATTTATTTAATTTTTTGTGTGATGAAAAATCTGAACAACCACCGGTAGCAGTATATTCATATAAGATAAATACTGTTTTAAAAACCGAATTATTTCACATAACAAGTCTGCTATAAGACCATATTTAACC